TTTGTCTGGGAACTCAGCTTAGGATAACCCAGACCAGTTTCACATAACTTCTCTTCACACTACAGCAGCCATGGGCTCCTTACACTGCACTGAGTTGGAAAGTCTATTTCCTAAGAAGGCAAGACTAGAACTGTATCACTTTCATGACTTAACTTCAGAATTCCACCACTATTGCAGACTTGAGCAGATTCAAGGGAGGGATCATGGATACTACCACTTGATGGGAGGAATCTCAATACCACATTGTAGAAAGAGAATGTAGGATGGGAGATACTGCTGAGGTCATTTAAAAAAATCTGCTACATTCTTCTTCCAGATTCCAGTGCACTGCACATACCCACACTGCTATCTAAAGTGTGGTTGGTTTCTCTTAATCTCCATCTTTGGCAGGTCAATTTTCCATCTGCCCAATTTTAGACCAGGCGTCTACTCTCATGTAGGAAGCTGCTGAGGCTTTCTGTTCATGTATGAATGTCTCATTTTTCTCTGAAAATTAGTTTATCCAGGCTTTCTCTTGTTTATGCTCCTTGCTGACCTCATATAAAAATATTATTTTAATTTTGTTGAGGTTTTTCTTGTTACCAGGTCTTTCATGCTCTTCTGCATCTTAACTGGAAGCAGAAGTTTCTCCATTAATGTTTAATTTCATTGCCTTTTTTCATTTCTATTGGTCATTTTAACTACTATATTTCCTTGCTTTCTCTTTTATGACATTAACTTTCAAACATGTTTATGTCTATCTGACAGCTTTATTATGTTTATTCTACAAAATTTAAGGTTCTTTGTTTCTGTTTTCATCTCTATTCTTTCAGGTGTCTGATTTGTGTCATGATAATTTGTAGTATGTGATTGCAGGGCCTTTTTCAGTGTGGTTTTATATACCTATGGGAATTCTGTGCAACCTAGATAGAAGTATGACCCCCACCAAGAGTGGTTTTTTTTGCTTTGCAAGAAATCTCAAGGGTATTACTACCTCCAAACCACTTTTTGTGTTAGTGTTTTGGACTGTGGCTCCAAGACAAGGTTGTTGTAAATTCCAATTTATCTTTAACTAGGAAAAAAAAGCCTTTCTTTCTAACCCAGATTGCATCAGTATTAACAAACTCCTTTTCATCTTCCACCCTTTTTAGCCCTGCATTTGATGCTATAACTCAATTCAGCAGACCATCTCCTTTGCTGGCTGGCTTTACGATGGCATCTTCCAATATGGTACTAGAGAAACACCACAAGGCTGGAAGAAGCAACTTAATTCCTTTTCTGCTGCTTTGTTCTCCATATGGTGGCAAGTAGATCAGCAGGAAGGAGTCCGGGCAGTGTGTTTACCGGTGGCCACAGCCCATTGGTGATTGCCCCCTGGCGTGTGCTGCCTTGTCCACCGAGGTGGGTCCATGGGCAGACATCTTCTATCTAGCTTCTCTGTTACCACAGTGGAAGCATGGTTTCCATGGTATCCACAGTACTCAGAGGTCTGAATATGTATCTTGTAGGGTCTTCCTCTAAATGTTTAAATTACTTTTCTGTTCATTTCTCCTTAGTTCCAAGGGTTGTAGCTGCTCCCAGCAGTAGCTACGTCTGTTAGACCTTAGTTTCCTGCCAACATTTACTATGATTTACTTATTTAATACCTTATGATAAACTTCCTGTTCAAATTACTAATTCAGTTCCTGATGATGCATGAGATATTTGTAACAAACTCTACCTAGCAGAAGCACTCTATATAACTGTTCTTATTTATCCCTCTCTTTATGAAATGTAAATGTTGAGTGAAGCAAAGGAAGTAAATCACTTAGTGTGCATTATATACAGTGATCCTGACCAACTAATGAAGTTCATCACACACCCAAGTCCGAAGAAACGGGGTTCTGGTGACTGAGGCCGAAATATTAAGTGATTTACCCTTCTATTTTCCTTTTTATCTCTAAGCATATCTTTGCATGCCTTTGTTCTTGAAAAATCACTTAAATAGTCCATTTAGCTTAGGTATGCAAATGTAAAGTAACAGACCATTGCAAAAATAAAGGCATTGGATGAACTAAGATATGATATGAAAAAGAACTTCCAACATTGGCACTCTCTGGAAGACTCATACCAGAAGAGGATCATCAAAAACCCCAACAAAGATCCACGCTGCTACAGCTGTAGATGCACTCATCCCACCGGTTCCTGGACTTGCCATGGGAA